TTTTACGATAGAGGAAGCTGGAGAAAAGAAAACATCATTAGGAAAATCATAACAGAGAAAATATATTTGCAGGACTGTCCTGTATTTACCCGAAAAGATCCTCATAGAAGTGGACCCAGGCCGCTCAAGCCCTCGTTGTAAAAGGGTCAACGGTACTAGGAAATTATATTTAGTCTTTGTTTCCCAATTCCTGGCACAGAGCTTGTAGGATCCCTCTTGGCAGGAGTGAGCAGAGCTTCCTCTGTTACCCATAACTGACCCCGTTAGGCCACACCTGAATTGAGGAGGAAGATGCGGCTGTTGGAGGACCCTTCACAGCTTTGGGACTTTGGGATGGGGCCTGTCACCAGAAAGACCAAGCTGTGACTAGCAGGTTGGAACATTCAGCCCCACTTTTACTCCAGGGAGAGGAGAGGAGCTGGAGATTGAGCTCCAGCACCAACGGCCAATGATTCATTCAATCCATTCCCTCGCTGTGTTTGCAGAGCTGGTGGGATGGTGAGCGCATCCAGGTGTCAGGAGGGTGGGGTACCCAAGGGGAGCCCAAGGGGCCATGGGTCTCCATGCCCCCCTGTGTCGTGGATCTCTTTCACTGGCTATTCTGGAGTTCTATCCTTCATGATAAGCTGGTAATTTATTACATAAACTGTTTTTCCTGGGCTCTGTAAATCGATCCAGCAAATTATCAAACCTGGGAGGCATCGTGGGAACCCCCGAATTTGTACTTGGCCCGGCAGAGATGGGGGTAGTCTGGGCACTCTGTTTGCGGCTGGTGTCCAAAGTGGGGAAAGTTGTCACCTGTCAGTTCTGATGCTACGACCTCTGGGTGGTGGTCAGAAGTGAATTGAATTGTTGGACGCCCTGTTGGCATCAGATATTTGGAGAACTGGTGTGAAAAACACCAAACGTTTGGTGTCAGGGGAAGGCTTGCTTCCTCTTCTGCGACCAATCAGAGAAAACCCTCTGCTTCACGGGAATTAGGCTCGGCCCACGCAGAGCATCTCCCTGTTTTGGGGTCAACTGATTAGCAACCTTGATTGCATCTGCAAAATCTGCAACCTTGATTGCATCTGCAAAATCCCTTAATCCCATCCTCGGGGGAGTGACCTCAGAGGGTGGAGGTCAGGGGACCAAGGTGGAATCCTGCCTTCCACCTGGGAGGAACCTGCACGGGGGCAGGACATGCTGGACATGCCAGCTTCTGGGAAGCCGCAGAGGGGCACAGCACGCACCAGCTTCCTCCTCAGCCGGGCTTCCAGGTGAGATGACCAGTGGTGGGCTGGCCCTGCTCAGAGGCAGCCGCCTGTCCCGAGTCAGGATGGGGAGGGACACAGGACATCCCAGGTCCTCCTGAGAGAGTTATAGAATTCCTGCCAATATAAAGCTGCTCGGCTCAGAGAGCGTTTTGTGAGGCCCTCCCGCTCCCCAACAGAGAGCAACTCTTTCTGTGATCTTCTCCGATTTGCAGCCTGACAGAGTTAGCCTGTCTTCTGCTGGAGCAAGAGTCCAGGTGGCAAGAACCCCGCATGAGTCTATGCCCCACACAGTAAGCACCAGCTGAATGCATGAGGGAATGAATCAACAGCCCATCTCCCCACCCAGCAGCTGAGAGCACTGCCTTCCTCCCCACCATGAGGAAGGGCCTGCTCACACGGCTCTGAAGGCCTTCCCTTTCAGGTCCTGCTCACACGCCTCAGAAGATCTTTGCCGCATTTTGGGCTGAGCGGTGCAACCCTGGAGGTGCTTCTAGCAGCTTCCAGCAGTTTCCGGCAGCTTCTAGCATGTACCTCCTCCCAGAATCCAATCCTGGTCCTTTGCTGATGCCGCCAGGCATGCCCACCTCTCTACCTGGAAGAGAGGTCTTCAGGGGATCTTTGAATATACCTCACTTCTCAGGAGAAGTGAAATTCTCTACCAATTATTTTCTAGAACACACAGAAGGAAAGCTTGAGCTAGACCAGCAAACAGGACTGCTTACAAAGACCAAAGGTAACTCTGCCCTCAAAGAGAAATTGAAGGCATGTAGCCATCACCAGCAGGACTCGGGCGCCGTGGGGGATCATGTCCCACTGCCCTCCCCACCCCCATCCCCAACCTCCCAACTCCCCCCCAAAAGTCCCCCAATCAACTGAAGCCAAAGTCTCTCTGCAGTGGCTGGGGAGGAATAATTCTCTTTGACCTTTGGGGGAGGGAGGATACACCCAAATGAAGACAGGAGCTCATAGCTCAGAAGACCCAACATCTAAACTCAAGAAATTTTTATTTTTTTATTTTTTTTATTTTTAAATTTTTTTATTGGAGTTCAATTTGCCAAAATATAGCATAACACCCAGTGGAACTTTTTAAAAATCAAAAATGAATATCTGCCCCCTTCATGGACCCCACAGTGTCACTCTATCTGCCAACCTGTTTGCTCCCCCTGAAAATTTTTTTTTATCACCTTTGCTTCAAGTGGCTTTCTGCAAGCAACAGGAGCAGTGATGTTCCCTGTGCTGCTTCTCCTAACAGTTTCATAAAACATAGAACCCACAGGACCGCAGGCTGTAAACGCTCGAGAGCCTCACAGATGTATTCAGCCTCAGTCCCACCGGGGAAAGGATGGAGGCCTCGGCTGGAGAGATTGGCCTTCCAGGGGAAAGAAGGTGCCGTGCCTGGATACCTTGCTTCAGGGTGCATGCGGCTGCAGTGTGAAAAGACGCCAGTCCCGGAGGCTGCTGAGGGACATGGGGATACGCAACAAGACGCCAAGGAGAGAAGTGGCAGCACAAGCAGGGAGACACCAGCTTCTTAGAAAGTGCTGTGTGGGTTTGTGTACAATGGGTTGTGTACCCCTCAGAGGTATGGGGATGGCCCATGCCCGTCCTTCTACCTCTTTCTTTCATTCTTCTTCCTTTTTTTTTTTTTTTTTTTTGGTATTTTACAGTTTTCCTATGATGAACACACAAAACTTTTATCGACTTACAAAGTTATCTTGTGAAAGTAGCCTTCCTTGCAAAGTCAGCATGCTGGGACTGGATGTGGGTCCCAGTAGGTCAAATGCAGGGCCCTGAAACCAGATGCCGGGGGCCTAAATCCACCGGTCCACTTTGAGCTCTGTGATCTGTAGCAAATGCCTTCATTAACCTTTAAGGAGTGTTGCCATTAATATCCATCTAGCACTTTTCTAGACACAGGGCATTGTCTCCAACAGTCCATATGGATCACTTCACCATGCGTGTGATAATTAGCTTATCTATGCATTGCCACTGAGGGCTATTGGAAGCATGAAGGCAATAATGCGTTTAAAAGCACTGTGCATTTTATTACCTGTCCTCTGGAGTATTTTATTTTAATTGCATAAAATCCCTTTCATGAAACAAACAAACAACAAACAAACCAGCAGCTTTGGGGCTGGCACTGTGTCCAAGCATGCATTTTTTTGCTGGCAAATTCTCCTAGCCCCTGGGCTTCCAACAGGTGCCCTTGCTGTAGATTCTAATCCAAGAAAGCCGCATTTCTTAGGAGCTGCCAGCTGAATGTCCTACAGGGGTCAGTAGGCCAGCAGGAGGGTCTGCCTGCCTGCACTGCCCTCTGTTCTGCTAAATTTATTCATTGAAGGGCACATTCTAAAGTAATCATGCCCCATTTGTGTTTACTATAGCGTGCTGTGGCAAATGGCCGTTTGCCAGGATGCAGACTGGTGTGGCCCCCCACCCCGTGGGACCCCACCCTGACGAGGAAAAAGTCAAGGCTCTGAGCAGCAAACAGGTAAGATAGTAATGAAACCAGGCACACAAACACAGCTGAATTCTTTCCTTGGGCCTCCTCCTCATGAAGGGGAAAACGTCGTGAAGGGTTGATAAATGTGAAACAGGATGCTTTCATTCTGGGAAGAAAAATTAAGCTCCCACAGTCCTGTGTTCCTGTGAACGCTTCCGGGATTTGGAGAGAGTTTAAAAAGTGGAGCCAACAGGGTGAATCAGCCACCTGGGGCTGCTGGTAAATCAGTAGAATTTTCTTCTTAGAAAAAACAACACAGCACCTCCTCCCTTGCCCAGAAGGCTCCCTGGACTGCCCGGCAGCCTGCTAAGGGCATGCCAGCCCCCCTGCGAATTCCCCGGGGGGGCCCGGTTCCGGTCAAGCTCGGAGGCGGGGTCCAGACAGCTGGCCTAATTAAAAAAAAAAAAAAAAAGATTGATTCACTCAGGACATCTTCCCCCTAAATGTTTCTCAAAGAAAGGCTTTGTGGGAAAGATGTAAATTCTGTCGCTTCCGTAGTAAGTCTGCGAAGGGGCTGTGAACCGCAGCAGGGTCCTCCTCCCTGGGCCGTGGGCAGAGGACACTCAGCATCGCGGGCAGCAGAGGCTGGCTCCGCTCACAATTGCTCACCCCTTTGGTGTGGACGCCGTCTTGCCATTTTTGCTCAGATCTCTGAAGGTTCTAACAGAGCCGTGACAAAATGATGACTCATACTTAAATGCAGTCATCATGTCACACATGATATTAATACCGCCGTGACACTGCCGTCAGCGCCGTGCCTTTCAGAGGAAAAGGTTCCTGAGAGCCAGCCACCACCATCCCCTGGGACCACAAAGGGCAGCGCCTGCAGAAGGCAGGACCCATTGTGAAGGGGGGCGCCGCCTGCATCCTGCAAGCTGTTCTGATAAGCAGCTGTCGAGAGGGAGGGGGCTGCGGGCCGGGGAGGGGGAGGGGGAGAGGGAGGGGAGGGAGAGGCGGCTGTTATCCGGCTGGAGGGCCAGCCTTGAGCTCCTGCGCTGATGTCTTATCGCAAGCGTGCTCCTGTCTTGCAAGTTCAAAAGTCTTTCCCTAAAAAGAGAACTGGGGGCAGGGCTCAAGTTCTGGCCAGCGTCCCCTCCCCCACTCCGCGCGCACTCAGCCCCGCGGGAGGACGGAGTAGGTGCCCGCCGGGTCCTCCCCGCCGGGGCTTCCGGGACCGCCTGGGGCCCTGCACACCACCTCCCCTCGGACAGGGACCCTCTACCCTCAAGAAAGAGAAGAAGTCTGTTTCAGTTAGTTTATTGTTTAAGAAACAAAACTCCAAAGCTGCAGCAGCAGAATCCTTTAGAAACCGGAGCATCGCCCCGTCCGCTTGGCAACAGCGGTGCAGGCCGCTCAGTGGGTCAGAGCTCCTGTAAGTGTCCGAGTCCAGAGTCCGGAGTCCAGGCCTCGCCTGCCTGGCCTCTCCCCTCCTTCCTGCGCAGAGCGCAGGCTGCTGAGTCACGCCGGCCCGGCCGGTCCGGCCTTCCCGGCCTTCCCGGCCCGGGGCCCACGGCCCGCCTCCGGCCTTCCCGGGCAGGCCGCCGCCGCCCACACTCGCGGAGTCCACACTCGCGGAGTCCCGGGCGGGGGGCCAGCCCGCCCCCGCGCCCCCGCCGCCGGGCCCCTCCTGCAGGGCCGCCCTCCTCGCCGCTCTCCGCGCAGCACTCCGGGCCCGCGCGCTCCGAGGGCGCATCCACAGAGCCAGCCGCGCGCTAGGCGCCCCGGTGTCACCACGTCGTCGATCAGACCAAGGCCCCCTCCGCGCGGTCACTCGGGGAGGGTGATACTGGGCACCCAGTCGTTGACGCTGCGGCTCTCCTCGCAGAACACGCTGAGCTTCTCCAAGGCGGGGTCCTTCCACGCGTCCTCATTGGGGTTCTGCGGGGAGGGCGCAGAGGTCAGCCTGGCCGGCCGCTGGCCGCTGGCCGCTGGCCGAGGGCGCGGCGGGGCGACGCTGGGCGAGGCCACACTCACCGAGATGAGGATGCAGTGCAGGTCCCCCGGGGCGGCCGCCTCGTCGCCCGCGCCCACGATCGCCGCCAGCCTCTGCACGTCGCCCACGCGCACGATGTCGATGTCGTTCTCGCAGCAGAACGCCTGGATCAGCGTGAAGTGGATCTGAAGCGCGATGTCGCCCTCGTCCTCCGCGTCGGCGGCCAGCACGCAGAAGGTCACGTTGTCGGGGTCCCTGCGCGGGCGGGGGGGGGGCGGTGAGGGCAGGGCGGCGAGCCCAGGGCGCCCCCGCCGCCTCCCGGTCCCCAGCCGCCGCCGCCGCCGCCGCCGCCCCCGGTCACCCCGCCGGGGCCGCGTCCACACTCACACATTCAGGACTTTGGCGGACTCGTAGACGCCGGCGGTGAGGCAGCCCTGGCGCTGCGCGGACAGCAGCAGCTCGTGGAGTGCTTTCCCGGCGCCCTGCATCCTGCGGACGAGCCAGCGCCGTGAGCGCGCGGGGAGCGGCCAGGGATCCCCAGCCCCTGCGGCGACCCGGCCCCGGGGATGCACCCCCCTCCACGCCCCCGCCCCCCGCCCAGCGAGCTCCCCATCCCGGCGGGCCCCCGAGGCGGCCGCCCGACCCGCTGCAGCCCGCACGGTCACAGGCGCCCCGCGCGCCGAGACGTCCTGCGCCCCGCGCCGACCCACCTGGCGGTGCTCTCGGGGACCGTGTCCTGGCCTCGGATTTCCTCCAGAGTCATGGTGCGGTCGGGAACAGCTAGTTATCCGCGCAAGGAGCGAGCGGCGCGGACGCGGGAGCCGCGGGAGCCGAGGACCGGGAGCCGAGGACCGGAGAGCGGGGAGCGCACGGCTGGCGAGTGCGCCCCGGCGCGCCGCGCCCCCTTATATAGGCCGAGCCCGGGCGCCGCCAGCTGGCCCGAGGCTGCGCGCCCATTGGCCGGCGCCCGCTTTCTGATGCAAATGAGGCGGCCGCCGCGGCTCGTGCCAGAAGGCCACGTGGGGAGGGGTGCGGGGGATGACAATGCCTCAAATCTGCCGCTTTTGTCGGCGTGTTACCAGGCAGACGGGAGCCTGCAGATTTCACTCGCCTTTTTGTTGTTTCAAGTCCTTAAAAGGAAAAAGTTAAAAAAACAAAAAACAAAACAAAAAAAAAAACCACCTTAGCTTGCTAATATAATAAGACGCAGCACTTTATGAAATGCACCTTTGGGGAAACTGAAGATTTCTTTTTTTTTTTTTTTGCATGTCTTTCTGTGGCTACGTTTCTATTTTTTTCTTTACTTGTAATTGGAAGTTTGTAAGACCGTTGTTTTTCAACCGGAATTTCAAGTAAAAATAGCCCGCGCGGGCTTTCCGCTTGCAAGCCAAAGGCCCAGGGGCACAGCCCCCTCCAGCCGCCGCACGACCCGAGCTCGCCCGGAGGCCTCGCCGCACGCCCCGCGCCGGGACCCCGCCGCGCCGGAGGGTCCGGGCCCACCTCCCCGCCCGCAGCCGAGCGCCGCGGGGCGCTGGGACGCGCGAGCAGATTGCGGCCGGCGCACGCGGCTCGTTTGCATTTCTATGGAGAAAGCACAATAGCGGAGGTCTGGCGTGTGGCGGTTCGCAAGAGGGACAATCGAGGCTTTCTCTTCATAGCGACACTACCCACCTGCCGCAGGGTGGGGTGGCTAGGGCCCCGCCGCGCGTGGGGGTCGCGGGGCTGCCCGGCGCGTGGGGGGCGGGCCACGTGTCGCTCCCGCGCCCCCTTGGTGCTCCTCCCCAGCACGGGGGCCGCTGCACCCCAGGCCCCTCTGCTTGTAATTCCGCCTCCACCCTCCACCCCACTGCCCCCGGGGTCCTCGCAGCGGCTGCCGCACAGTCTACGCAGCTTGAAGAACGCAGCTCTCAATCCCTTTCCCGGGGCGCCATCTGCAGGCTGTCCAGAAACACGGGGCACCCCGCCCCCCACTTGCATTGCCTCCTAGGGTGCTAGCCTGGGGCCCTGCGGCCCTGCCTCCTAGGGTGCCAGCCTGGGGCCCTGCGGTCACCCAACGGCCCTGGCGGGTCTGCGGCGCCCCATCCCACCCGCGGGCTCAGGGAAGCCGCAGCAAGGGCTGCAGAACCTGCCCGAGGAGGGGAGGGCAAAAGGACACTCCAACCCAGGCCTGATGGAGGCAGAGCCCGTATTTCTTGCTGTTTAGAAACGTTTGAAATTACCCAAACACACATGTATGAAAGCTTGTTTTTCAATTATATCGTAATAAACCTAGAGGATGTGAACAGACAGTGCTACAGTGTCACCGCTCTGGGGCAGGTAAGCCAGCACTCTGAGACCTTGTGCCCACGGAGAGCATCACTAGGGTGGCTGCATCTCTCCGTGCTACTTGGACTCTGGCCCGGGGGTGCCCTCCGTGGCCCCCCTGTGGTGGGCGCGGCCCGGGGCCTGGATAGGACATTCCGGGCGAGGGAGGAGCGCGCGAGCCGGCGTCCTGCGCCCTCCGGTGGACGGCGACGCTGCACAGCCACCGCCTCCCGAGTCCCAGCGAGGGTGAGCTCCCCGGTGTCCTTGACATCCCAGGTGCCCGCAGCACCCGCAGCCTTCAAGGGCTGCTGTTTCCTTTCTCTCTTTATTGGTGGCCTATGACATGACAGCGTGCCTTGATGCGATAAATTGTTTACTTTTACGTGAGGGAGGCTTAGTTATTGCTCTTTTTCTTATGTATCAAGTTTTCTCAAAATGTATCAGCTGCAGGTCCCCAGGAAGCTTTGCAAATGGGGCTTATTTCACATCTTACCCCGGCCCCACCCCTGCCCCTGTTTGTAACAGTACAAGTTTGGGGGCTCACCAACTCTTAGCGCCTCCTCCTACAGAAAGACCCCTGGACAGGCCTGAACCAGGAGGGGGGGCAGGGGGCAGCATTTCCAGTTGGCACTGAGCCAACCTGCAGGAAGAGGGCTGATTGACAACCCCTTGGGGCTGTTCTACTTTACTCACATTTTTAAGGTATTCAGTTTCAGGAAAACCGCCTTTTTGACATAAGATATGGCTTCACATGGATTTATTAGGTCATTCCAAACCACCACAAAGCCTTCATCTCAATTGGGAAAGAAATACTTTTTTAAAAGATTTTATTCATTTATTCATGACAGACACAGAGAGGCAGAGACACAGGCAAAGGGAGAAGCAGGCTCCCTGCCGGGAGCCCGATGCAGGACCCGATCCCAGGATCCCCGGATCACGACCTGAGCTGAAGGCAGATGCTCAACCGCTGAGCCACCCAGGCACCCCGAAACATTTTTTTATCTGGAGGCAAATTTGGGCTCCACCAGACCCCACCACCATCTTGGGGTCTGGACAAATGCACAAGCTGCTGCGCACCTGCTGGGCAGACTGCAGGAAAAGAGCAGGCAATGCCTGCACCCCAACCCTGGTTACCTACCCCAATGTAGACCACATGCCCCCCGCTGCCCCACTGTGTCACCCCAGCACTGCCACACTGCATTCAGCCACTGCCTCAGCCTGCTGGAGCCCCAAGTCCTAGGACGCCATGAGGTCATCCAAACTTCCCGCGACTACACCCCTAAACCGCCCCCCGAACCTTAATAATACAGGCAGTGGTGACTCGATGAAGTGCATGTTCTCAGGGATGCTCTATTTTCAAGCCCCTTTGGAAATGTTATTTAACTGTTTTGCTAACACATTCTTTCTCGTGGCCTGACTAAAATGTTGGTGGGGAATTACCCAACACCGAAGGATGGTAAGAAGTGGCTTCACGTGAGCAGTAAGCCTCAGGGACATTCCCTGCGCAGTTTCTCAAACCATTTGCTTCTGGAGTAAACAGTGTTCACGACATAGCAAGCCCCCCACCCCCCCCCCACCCTGAGATGGGCAGGACACAGGGGGCTGCTCAGAGCAGAGTCGGAGCCACCTTTCAAAACCAGCAGCTCTCACATGAAAATCTGCATGTCCAGCTTCTCTTGGAAAATGGGAAGATTTGGCCACCAAGTGCCTGTGGTCCCCCACCCCCAACCGCACCCCAAGTAACTATCAGCTGGAGGGAGGCGCACTGGGTCCCCCAGACTGGCACTCCTCTGCACTTCACCGCAGCTCTCTGAGGACAGCCAGCTGCTACACTCGTTTACATCACCTGCTTGTCCCCGGCAGGGCTTTTGCAAACTTCAAACAGAAACAAGTTTGAAAAGCAAAATAAAAGGGGCCGGGTTCTTAAAAGATGAGCTCAAACAGGGTAAGCACCATCTGTGTCCCACACTGTGCAGGACTGTATCTCCAATGTTGGCCCGGGGCTCCAGGAGCAGTGCGGGTGGACCCCTTTCCAAAGGATCCCATGGCTCTTCTTACATCACCCCCACCCCTTTGTTCAGCCTCTCCCCAAGGCAGGACAGGCCTCTGGGGTTTCCAGAAAAAGTGTTGGGTTTTTTCCCCCAAGAACTCACAGAGGGTAGTGCGGGCATGAGTTGGTGGCAATACTACATTAACTCAAAAAATAAATAAATAAAAACCAAATTTTTGTACAAGACACACACCTATTACCTAAAACCCAGCAGCAGCTTCTCGAATGCGCCCTGGCATCTAAGGAGCACAGAGACCAACCCACCCACCGCCACCCCCGGGGGGCTGTGCAGGACCCCCCACCCCGAGGATTTCTGTGGTCAGTGGATAGGGAGGCTTCCGAGACAGGATTGAGAAACCAAGAAAGGGAAATCCCCACAGGGCACAGGCCGGACATCTGTAGTCAGTCCCTGTGTCAAGACGGGTTTCTGGAAGGAGCGGTTACTCCTGGCTCAGTGAAACCCCCTGAAGCCCCTGATGGGCTGGGGGCAGGTCATTCCTGAGGTTGGCACTTTCCCTAGCATGAGTAGGCAATGATGTGTGACACGTGTCATAGCCACAGGCATTAACCCCGTGGCTCTCCCTGTGGCCTCAACCCCACCCCCACCCCCAGAAGCCACAGATGTGCTGTCCTTCCCGGCGTGGCCATGTGCCAAGTCTTCTGAGCCTGGGATTCCCCCCGCCCCCCCATCCCATGAAAAGAAGATCTGCCCTTTGCCTTCCATGCGCCTCACTGGGAGTTTCTAAAGGTCACAGCGGGTCACCATTTGGCCCACACTCCAGTTTGGTTTGCTGGACAGTGTTCTAGAATGGCTTGCAAATAGAGTCTGACTTGTTTGTGTAGGTGGGAATGGGTGGCAGGCACTTTCCATGTCACCCTAGATGTGTCCCAAAGCCCCCCAGCCAGCCTCTGTGGGCCCTCGAGCTGGGGCGTAACCCTCTCTCTCCTCCAGCGGCACACAGGAAGCAGAGAGCTGTGGTCGCCCTGCTGGAGACGTTAACGTACGTAAAAAATAGGTGCTAGAACCACAGAATTTCTGAACCGAAAGTCCTCCTTTACGTTCTGAAAGGTGATTCAGAGCGAGTGTTTAAACACCCAGAAAGGGGAACATGACATTGGAGGTGCTGTTAGCAGCACAGGCTCAGATCTAGGTGTACACTGCTTACTTAGCTTCACCCTCAAGCAAAAAGTTAGTGCATGACCTAAAGTGTAAGGTGAAAACAGTCCCGGCTTGCTGACCCATCTACTCTACCCTTCTTGATTTCTTCTAAAGAAGTGCGTCCTCCAAAGTGCGTATTATAAGGAAATGTTTGCGGCAATATTTGTTCCTAATGATGAAAATCAGAAGCCACCATGGGAGGTGGGTGCTACACTGGAGGGTTGCACCTAAAAGAAACATATGTGGCCATAAAAGACATTCTGAAGAGAATCTCTTGGCACCATAGAGCCCCAGACACAACGTGGAGAAGCAAGGGACAGAGAGCACTAACTGTGCGACACCAGGAACCTGTAAGCCTCAGCGCACCTGACCCCCACTGC